AAATAAAGGTTATTATTATAAGAGAAAAAAAAATGAATCCATTTATAAAAAATAAACAAATTTTGATCGTAAACATATCCTTTTCAAATTATGCAGTATGTAAATCACTATCCCTCATTTTATAGGGTACTAACAAAACGCGTGAATGTGCATATAAAAACCAAAATTACAAATTTGAAATACGCGTGCGAACAGGCAAAAGTTTCGATTATAATTTTTATTCAGATGTATCTATTTTTTGGTTAAATGCATCAAACCACGTAATTTTTATATATATAGGGTTGTTAACTTACATGTAAATTTACTGTATGTAAATTTATTGTAACTGACGTAAATTACCTTGTAAGTTATCAGTTAGTGCTGTAGTGAAACGTTACGTTTTCAAAAAGTACTTTAAACTGTATAAATAAGTTACCCGGCAATTGATTTACATCAGCCAATCAGACGAATGTCTGTCTATATCAGATATGCACAGATAGAATATTTTTACGTACATACTAATACTACGAATTGGATCTGTTAACCGCATAAAAATTATTTCATAATTCCAGGCCGAATTATGTTATCATGAGCAAAAATTATCTTAATACGGGCTGAACTATTGTACCGTACAGTAAAAAAGAGGACTACACGACAATAATTAGCTTTATAGTTGTTGAGATATGGATTTATTAAAAATATTAACTGAATTTAAGAATAGTATGTGTACGTACCGCTACCAAGGGTTGTTAGCTGTTAGTGGTAACTTACCATGGTAAGTTACCAGGTAAGCCATCATAAATTTAATATTATTAATTTCGGCTAGCATTAAGACTGGTGAAACTAATGAAACTGGTGACTATCTAAAATCTGATTGGATATTTACTATATTAGCCAATCATATTTTTAGATACACCAGCAACTCTAAATTAAGACAAAAAGAACTACAGAACTAGGAAAAACTTATAATAACTTAGCAAGCTACCGGAAAATTTTATAACTCCGATTTAATTAGTCTATGACAAATCGAATATTCTATTAGTTCCGGATACTCCGATGTCCGTGCCACGGTACCTTATAAAAAAAGTAGTCATCCATCACGATTTAGAATTATTTTTTTTAAAAAATGTCGAGTAGAGATTTCGAAAATCAAAGCTCGAAACGAAAATACGAAGAAAATAAAGATTTCGAAAACCAAAGTTTGAACCAAGGTTTGAAACGAAAACATGAGGCAAATCTCGACTCTAACAAATCGATAAAGGTCACAAAAACTTCAACTCCTAATAGCAGAATTGTTGCGGATCACTATAACAAAAAACCTGATGTTGGCGTTGAGAAACGAAACGAATCTACAATATTGTTTCTAAAAAATTTTAATAATTGGATTAAAAGTGTTATAATTGGAAAGCATGTTGAACCAAATTCCGATATTCTCGATATGGGCTGTGGAAAAGGTGGTGATCTTCTTAAATGGAAGGCCGCAAAGATTTCTACACTTGTGGGTCTTGGTATGTTATGAGCTAAATACCTCATATCACTATTTAGTTATTCAATATATTTAGTAGGGTTAAAAGAATTATAATTTTTATTCTAGACCTTTCTGATGTATCAATTGAGGATGCCAAAAAGCGTTGGGAGAATATTAGAGGTATGAATGATCTAATCACTTAAAATAATCATTTTTATAAACTAATAAAATTTCTTTGTAATAGGTGGTAAACATCCTGCTGGATTCCATGCCGAATTCCATGTTTTAGATTGTTTTTCTGTGAGCTTTTAGCTTTCAATTATTTATCAATATCAGTTTACCTAGTTTCAATTACTAATTTAAATTATATGTTATACAATTTAGAATCCGATCACCTCAATTGCGTCTATAAAAAATAAACTGTTTGATGTCGTCAGCATGCAATTTTGTCTCCATTACTCATTTGAAACAGAAAACAAAGCACGCATGGCTTTAAAGAATGCTTCTTCTAATCTAAAAGAAGGTGGATTGTTTATTGGCACTGTAACTGATGCCAATTGGATCGTGTAAGAATTTATATTTCGTTATTCATTAATTAACAATCTTATCCTAATATATGTGATTTTTCTTATCGGTTTAGCAAAAAACTAAAAACTTTAGACCCAAAGGCGTTGGAATTTGGTAATTCGATATATTCTATAGTATTCGAACAAAAACATGAATTTCCGACCTTTGGTCACAAATATAGGTTTAACCTCGAGGATGCCATAAATGACTGTCCTGAATATTTGGTCCACTTTCCAACCTTTGAAAAGTATGTCATTGTGCATTTAAAAAATCTGGTTTGCTCTTTACAATTTTATTTATATTTATTGTTTGTACATTTTCAGGATGGCAAGGGAGTATGGCTTAGAGTTAATATACAAAAAGAGGTTTCACGATATATATAATGAATCAAAAGAGGATCTGCAATATCGCGAACTATTGTACAAAATGTCTGTAATTAAACGCAAAGAGCCTATTGAGATGAGCGATGCAGAATGGGAAGCTGCAGGTAAAATTTATTTATATATATATATAATTTTTTTAAAAAATTTAAAGTACTAATTTAAAGTTTGTATTTATCTTTTAAAGGGATATATATAGGTTTTGCATTCAAGAAAGTAAGAACATAAATGTTCATGCTGGTTTTTACTAATAATAGTTCATATTATTTAAACCGCCGAGAAGACAATTATCCTCGTTTTTGTATCTCTAATACTGTACTTGCATAAGTAGCAAACTGTAACTGATGCGCTAGGTAAAGGTTGATATACTGTGTAATATTTTCTTCAGAAAAATATTCCTCATCGTATTTAACATCATAGTATGAGTTTTTTTAGATTTTAATGTTATAGACATGTTTATAAGACTAAATAATAGTTAATATATAAATAAGACCAATTTGTAGAAACTTTAGGATTTAAAGATTCCAAATACATCTAAATAAAGGTGTTGATATTTTTTTGCTATAAACTCATCGTTTACGTATTAAATACCTTTGATTCTTCGAAATAACATGTTAAAAATATGCACACGCTAGGTAACAATTCAGTTATAGAATAAATATGATACTGAGCACAGCTCTATTACAAATATGCCTTTGATAAATTAAAAAAAAAAACATATACGATGAACTAACTGGAAAATCATTTCTATTACATAATTAATCTTCACTCGTTATATTGCATACAATTACATAATTTGTATTCTTGGATAGAATATATATTGTATATATCATGCTCGTAAATTTTATTTCACTCCCAACTTTTCTAACCGTTTGGAAAGATCATTAACACGGGCATCCATGATACTGATGTTTTGTTGAATGGACTCTTCATTAACCTTGAAAGACTTATCAAGCTATAAATCAATAATAATTAATAAACGTTACCATATGCAACAAAAGATGAATTATCTAAACAGTAAACAACATTACTTACGTTTTCAGAAACTTCATTCAGGCTTTTCAACTCGTCACGAATTTTGTTTTGTTCATCAGATATCATATTGATGGTATCACTAAATACCGCGGCTTCCTGATGTAATTGTTGCAGCGATTTCAACCGGTTGACCAAGGCTGGTGCAATGGAAATCAGTGGATCAACCTTGTCTAAAAGGGCGAAAAGGTAATTGATCTTTTAAGACGAAAAAGACGTAGACATATTAATATCGTCCCAAAATCACGTGCATATAATAACAGCAGTTACAGTCATCCTTCTTTATAATTAAATGTAAATGTAAAGAAATTTTGCTCATGTATGGGTACAGGCTAAATGGTAATTGTTTTTGAAGTACAAATGTGATACAAGATTTTTATATAATTTGCTTTTAAGTGGTGATTAATATAGAGGATGACTGTATTTGTTTATAAAACAAATAGAAAATAAACCAATACAAACTCTTTCTTTGGTATCAAAATCGATGACAGCACCATTCATAAATTCTTTAGTCTTCAATTCATTCACTTTTTCTAATTCCCCGACAAGAGTTTTTGCTTTTCGAGAAACAGACTCCAAATGACGAGTCTGTGCCAACAGTTGCATATGCTGATCAAGTTTATCGACAGCAGCAATGAGGTTGGTGTTTGTTATAGAAATTGACTTTTTAATCGACCCGATAGAATCGATGAAAAGAAAAGAATAACAGGCATTTAACGTAGAAATTAACAAATTTTAAATAGCGAAGTGACAAATTTAAATGATAACCTACAAGATCTTCGAAATTTTGCCCATGAGCTGTGCCTACGAGTTTCTCCAAAGCAGAAATACGTTCATCCAATTCAGCTGTCTTGCCTAAAGTATGAACTCGTGCGGTTTCGGGTGAATAAAACAACTCATATGTGACCATCTATATTGTACATAATAAGATAATTTAATAATGACAAAATTTAATGGTGCACGAACGACGGATAAATCAAACTTACATTTTTCTCAGCCTCAGCGTTGGGAGCATGCCCTATCACGCTTTCATCAATTCCGTTTGTTTCACCTGCCGTTCCATTTGTTTTGGGCATACCAGTATTTTTGAAAGTCTGCAATTGGTGAATTAATTTTTTACCCAATTCGGCTTGTTTTATTATTGAACCCTCTTGTTCATCTATGGGATCAGAATCACCTAAGGATTGATTAATACGAGATAGATCATCTTGCAGATTCAATATCTGCGATGCTAGTGCATTATGATTAGGTTGATTTATTGAAGCTTCCTCCTTAATGAATCAATTATGATAAGTGTGTGTCTTAAACAGACATAATTGTATAAGTAGATGATCGATTACCTTCTTTTTTTCTACTTCTTCACTAAGTTCCTGTACCTCATACATCAATCTTCTCAATTTTTGCAAAGAAGTTTCCTGCAATGCAGGATCTCTTGGAAGAATTTCATATTCCAAAGGAGGTCGCTTCACATATTGTTTATACAATTGTTTTTTATATCGAATGGCTTTCTCAGCATCTATTAACCGAATTTGAGAATTAAACAGTTGCTAATACAACAAACAGATATATCAACCAATAAATTATATTTACCTGTTTCTGCAATTTCACCAGTACTTTCCTTAAATTTATCAACAGCATCGCCAACGGTAATTTTATCATTAACAATATCCTCGCTCTGTTGTTCTTCAAGACTAGGAAACTAATTTAATTTAAAAAAAAAAGAAAAAAAAGGGCTTAATTATAGGAAATGCAAGTACAAAGTGCATATATAGGTACTTAGCTTTCAATTAACAAACGAATGCATATGTAGAAATACTTACGCCGTCGTCAGAAACTTCTGCGTCTTCGCCAGTATCGGGTGTCTCGTAAACGTCAGGTTGAGTGTCCTGTTTTAGGATTGATAATTAGGCCTCGATGTACGTGATTCTTAAACTTCAGAAACATACAACTCTATATTAAGCCGTAAAAGTAACCTACAATGTCGGGAAGTGCACTGTATTTACTAGACATTTTTCGAAATGATGAAAAGGATGGCTAAATTTGTGCATTACTTGGTTAGTGCATGTTCATAGGGCTTAACCGGTTAAAGAAGGAATATAAGAATCAAGAAAATTTGGATTCCGAACACATACTTAAAAGATCCTAGCGCTGTACAGAATTAAATTCAACTAAAATACAATCTTTTAAAAGTATCATACAGTCCAAAAAACGCTCCTGCAAGCTTGTAAATCCTTGCAAAAGTAGCTTTTTTTGTACAACATACTATTGTTATTCTGGTTTGGTAAAAAGTTCGCATATACTGTGCTATTTAATATGAAATTTTGATTGGATGATCAAATCTTGCTCGTGAAAATTGATAATCTTTAATACACAAAGAATTCCCCTTATCTGATATGATCATTAATAATTTTTATTCGAAGCGAAGACAATTATCCGTCAAATTTCGCACAATAATGTCCGGAAAACTTCCACAGGTGAAAAAACATTCCACTAGCTTTTTAATTAGCTACAACATTTTACTACGAGTTTTTTTCGGATCCTTTGTAGAAGAAATTTTTTCGCCAACGAGCACACTCTAATCCTTTCTCAGATCATCATCTTGACTAGCAAGTAATATTTCTCCAGTCCTTGTTTACTAAGAAGAATATATTTACATTTAAAAGTTCATAATTAATTAGTCCGAAAAGCCCTGCTGAAATGGATTGGTCCACTCATTACCCAGCGTTCGTTTCTGAAGAGAATTCTATTGAATCATCTTTTAACGTGCCCATCAAACAAGTGGGTCGACCACTCATGAAAAAAAAAGTAGAATTCGCTGATTTAGGCTGTGGTTATGGTGGTTTGCTTGTTTCACTTTCGTCATTATATCCAGAGACTCTAATGCTAGGTAGGTCCTAATCTTTAATATTTATTTACAAATAATAGATTTTTCAATATTACAATTTTTTAGGCATGGAAATCCGCGTAAAAGTTGAAGAATATGTACGTGAAAAAATTATTGCGTTAAGACTACAACATTCAGGACAGTATCAGAATATATCTATAATAAGAATGAATGTTATGAAATTTTTGCCAAATTTCTTTGAAAAAGGGCAGGTAAATGGGAGGCATTTATCAATATATTAATAATGCGTCCGTAATTTAAAAAAAGGATTTAACATATAATCAAATTTGTAAAAGTTATCGAAAATGTTCTTCTTATTTCCGGATCCACATTTTAAGGCGCGAAAACATAAAGCCAGGGTTATAACGTAAGTATAGATCATCGATAAGACTAATGCCTTTTGTCTGGATCATCGAATTGATCGAACAGCCAAGGTTTACTTCGAGCTAATTTGAGTCTTGAATCAAATTAAGCTCGAATCATATTGAATTGGTTTGAATCATCGAACTGAATCAACAATCTATGACTCAAATTCATACATGATGGATCTCAAAATTTTTGGTCGATTGGTCTGGCATTAATGGATTCTTTTCTCACAATCAATTAAATTTTACTAATTGAGTCATAGATTGCTTATTAAACACAAACAATCTTCCAGTAATTTATGATAGATAAGTCTACTAGTATTTGTTAATGCCGAATCAGATGATCTGAACCTAGATTTAGATAAGACCATTAAACAGCGCAAATATTAATTATCAAGTATATATTATAGAAATCAATTATTAGCAGAATATGCATATGTTTTGCGTGTTGGTGGTATAATCTACACTATATCAGATGTGAAAGATTTGCATGAATGGATGGTTAAACATTTGGATGAACATCCACTTTTTGAACGAATACCAGATGAAGAAGTGGTAAGAAACTTTAAATGTAATGTGTAGTTAGTTAAAATACGATCTTTATGATAAATTTATCCATTATCATATATAGGAGAAAGATCCAGTCATCCCATTTGTCAGAACTGAGACCGAAGAAGGCAAAAAAGTAGAACGTAATAAGGGCGAAAAGTTCTTAGCTTGCTATAGACGTATTATGAACTAATGACTTATTCATTTTGATTTTGAATGATCTAGAATTATTATTGATATTGATGCATCAAGTAGAGGCTTGATAAAAGAACAATGTCAGTTTTCTAAATTTGAAAAATAAAATTACTGTTAATAAATTTTTAAAATATTAAAAATACAAGTTTTTAACCATTATATAGTTTTATTTCTCTATAATTACTAGTTTGTTTCATGCAAAAAATATGCAATTATAATGTGCTTATATAGAAGTATTTTTATAAATTTTTTAAAATTTAAGGTAATTATACAGAATTTGCAATTATATATACTGTATTTCAAAATTACTATTGTCAAATTAGCACTACTATATATATTTTTGAGATTAAAAATTTATAATTATTTCTTCTTTATTTTGTTTTATATTTTTTTAAAAATAATTTATTTTACAGAATTTTTTAAAATTTGAATTTTTGTACAGAATTATATATATATTTTTTTTTTTTTAGCTTTTTGATGGTTTTGCTGAAGCTTAAATAATTAAAAAACTTTATTCATTTAATTAACAACAAAACAAAACATTATCTAGAACTAAACAAATTGGGTTTCTTCAATTGCAAACTCAACATTATCTGGCTGCAATAAATATATCTAGCTATAACTTGTCACACTAACTTGTATACAAGTTGAATAAACTTTGTTAGCCTATTAAAAGCCAATTTCTTCAATTCTTCTTTTTTTATTGAAAGCAGAAAAAAGTAATAATTTTATATTTACAATACAAAATTACTTATTGATAAACAAAACAAAATATCTAAAAAAACAAATAAAACAAAGAGGAAATTTCAAAAGAAAAAAAATAAAGAAATAAAGAAATATAAAAAAAAGAATAAACAAAAAGAAAGCTAAGAGCTAACAAAAAGAGGAACTACCTTTATTAAAAAATTATAAGCAGCCTGAAGGTTGAATGAAAAAAAAGAAGATGTACTATTACAATATATGTCAAATTAAATAAAAATTATATAACAAATACAACAATTGTATATCTTTAATATGAAGCTATGTCTTTAATATATAGGGGTAAGTTAATAAAAAAGGGACAAATTTTTTCTAAGTAAAAGTTTTCTTAACTTTAGGCTTAAATATCTTAGCAATTATCTTATCAAATTTAATAAATTTTTTTTATTTTAATTCTATATAATTTTAAAATTAAAATAAAAAAATTTTTAAATTTAAAAATTAAAAAATTTTACTAAAAACAATTTGTTCCTTTTCTATTGACTCCCCCTTATATATATCTTCTGACTATTAACTAACTTTAGATATCTTTTTAACTAAAAACGCAATTCAAGTTATATAAAGTAGTGCTATATTTACAAACAAGATACATGATTATATTCTACTAAGCTTATCTAAATTTGAAAAATAAACAATATCAATTTTTTAAAGAGGATAAACCAAATCCTTACTTTTTGTCAAAAATTTTGTAAAGCTGATAAAAGAGTAAGAAAGATAAAAAGACTACTTGCTTTTTCTTAAAGAAATATATATTTTTCCTTAAAATCTACTTTTTTAAATAAATCTTCAATAAGAAGTAATAAAGAGCTACTATTTATATAAGCTAATAAGTAATAAACTTTAGGCTTGTTGGCAAGTAGTATATAAAAACTACTTCTAAATGACAAATATTGTTTTTGTATTGAGTAATAAACTCTAAAACTGTTAGCAAATAGTATATAAGAACTATTTCAAATAACAGCTATTGTCTTATAGTTCATAATCTTATATTTAGCTATATTTTTACTATAAAGTACTATATTTTTTAAAAAAATTGTTTGGGAAAATTTGACACAAGTAATTATCAAAAAGAGTATCTAGTATGTTTTTTGATTATTATTATTATTATTATTTTAAGGAATTGCTATTCGCACCATGATTTATACAGATTATTTTGATTTTATTACAAAATTATTTTAAATACTTTAAACTTTGATCAAAATTCTTTTAGCAATCAATTAATCAAATTTGATGAAATTTTTTTTATTCGAATTCTGTAGTTCTGTAGAATTTGAATAAAAAAATTTTCATCAAATTTGATCAATTGGGTACCGAGATATCTTTAATCAAAGTTTGAGTAAAGTTTAAAAACATATATTATATAAAAACTGCACCAAAATTGTTTACAAAGCTTTGATCGAAGATAACTCAGTAACCAATTGATCAAATTTGATGAAAATTTTTTTATTTGAATTCTGTAGTTCTGTAGAATTCGAATAAAAAAATTTTTAATGAATTTGATTAATTGGATGCCAAAATATCTTCAATCAAAGTTTGAGTAAAGTTTTAAAATGTATATTATAGAAGCTGCATTAAAATTGGTTACAAATCTTTGATCAAATATATCTTGGCAACCAATTGATCAAATTTTATCAAATTTGATCGATTGGGTGCCGATATATCTTTGATCAAAGTTTGAGTAAAGTTTTAAAACATATGTTATATAAAAGCTATACCGAAATTGTTTACAAATATTTGATTGAAGATATCTTAGCACCCAATTGATCAAATTCGATAAAAATTTTTTTATTTGAATTTTGTAGTTCTGTAAAATTCAAATAAAAAATTTTTATTGAATTTGATCAATTGGTTGCCAAGATACCTTTGACCAAAGTTTGCATAAAGTAAAATATATATCACATTAAAGCAGTAATAGTAAATGATCTGAAATGACCCAAATGACCCAAATGACAAATGACCAGTCATTGGGTCATTTCAAAGGTGAAATGACCTAGTGGGTC